AGAGAGGCTGGAGCTCCAGAGTGCTGAATTGGCTAAAATTTTGGAGGGAGAATGCGTACAAGATGGAAACTGTCTGGAGAAAGACCTCCAGAAATCTTCAATTTCAGTATATGTGCTGCCAAAGCAAGCATCCTCCAGACATCTTCAAAGGGGTGTCCTTGTATAAGGTGGACTTCTACAAGGCCAGGCAAGTGACAATTGGGAGTAATAAAAACATTTCCCTTGGGGCGCCTGGGTGGCTCAGTGGGTTAAGCCGCTGCCTTCGGCTCAGGTCATGATCTCAGGGTCCTGGGATCGAGTCCCGCATCGGGCTATCTGCTCAGCAGGGAGCCTGCTTCCCCCTCTCTCTCTGCCTGCCTCTCTGTCTACTTGTAATCTCTCTCTGTCAAATAAATAAATAAAATCTTTAAAAAAAAAAAAACAAAAACCATTTCCCGAGCTCACGTAGGGCTGAGACACATCTGAGTCTTGACCAGCGAGAGTGGAGAATCCATGTTGACACTCAGGGCCTTCAGTGGAGAAACCTCAGAGAAGCTATTCTTTTGTGTGAGCTAAACGAACGCCAGAGTGAAACCTACTTTATGTCTGTCTGCCTTAATAAACTTAAAATTCTTAAGATGACCAAGCTACCTGATAGAACAAAATCCAACACTCTTTAAAACACTTTAACAAAGTAAAATCTAGCACTGCAAAATAATGTCCACCATTTACTACTACTATTAAATTACTAGCTATTTCAAAAAGCAGAACAGAAAAAAAAATCAGTGAAACCAGATTAAGAGATAATAGGCTTAGCAGAGAAGCACATTATTTTCCCCCCAGCTTTACTGAGATATAATTGATGAAACTGTGTAAGTTTAAGGTATACAATGTAATAATTTAATACACTGTATATAATGTGAAATGATTAGCACAGTAAGATTAGTTAACACATCTTTCACTGCACCTAGTTATATTTTTCTGTGTGGTGAAAGCTTTTAAAATGTACTTTCTTAGCACCTTTCAATATAAAACACAGTGTTTTTGTTTTGTTTTGTTTTTAAGATTTTATTTATTTATTTGCCAGAAAGAGAGCAAGAGTACAAGCAGGGAGAGCAGCAGGCAGAGGGAGAAGCAAGCTCCAGATTGAGCAAGGAGTCCAATGCAGGACTTGATCCCAGGACCCTGGGATCATAAATTGAGCCAAAGGCAGACGCTTAACCAACGGAGCCACCCAGGTGTCCCAAAACACAGTTGATACAGTCCCAGAATTTATTCATGTAAGAAGTACTTCGCATTTACTTTCCTAAATATGTTACTGCCTGTCTCCCTTCTCCCCAAAATAAAAGAACTCTTTAAACTATGGGAAATTATGGGAAAAGTATCACAGACAATAATAGTATCTGTCATAATTTTCAAAGCAATAATTCAAGTAAGTAGAGCACCAAGAATCTTCCTGCCTTAACATAAGCATCTTACCCTCACTTGCATAGTCAACCTACTAAATTAACCAAATTCAAACAATGAAAGAAAAAAGATGAAGTCAGCAAGTGTGTGTTTCTTTTATGTAATTCCATTTTAACAAAGTTTAACAGTACCGGTAGGATATAAGTGAAACTTCAATGTTTCTAACCTCTAAATAATAACTCACTCTCACGTAGCAAAAATATATATTTTCACAAATCAGTGTAGACCTCCTAAGTAATCTGACATGTATGCTTGTAATCTGTATGTATGTTTCATTTTCTCTACTGCAGTCCAGTAGAAATCATACTAGAATGACAGTTCCTGCTATTTACATTTTCCCTCCACAGCTCTTTGTACGAGTGATCCTGCTAGGTTTTATTTTCATTTGAAATACACACTACTACAAATACTTGAAAAAAAAGGTTGATGAATACACACTACTACAAATACCATGAAAAAAAGGTTATAGTGGAAAATTTAAACAAAGACAAAACAATACATTTAATTTATTTTTAACAGACTTTAAATCAGGGGTCAAACCCAGCAGACTCAAGATAGGTTTTTTTGGTTTCTGTGGGGTTTTTTTGTCCAAAAAGCGTTCACAATTTTTTTCAATTTTCAGTGTCTTTAAGTGGGCTTGTATTCTCCAGTTCATAAACCACTCCAATCCTCTTATTTTATATCCGACATCCATCTCCTATTTATGGTACCTCCTAGCACATTAGGCACTTGAGTTTGCCAATCCCTACTTCGCATGAATAAGCCAAAATAAATACATAGTTTCTTCCTATTTTGCAGAAAAATTCCAAAATGACCTCTAAAATGAGTGATGGACTTTTTCCAAGACAACTAAATTTTTAACATGTTGGTTTAAAATTTTTTGGCAGGACTTTTGTCAGTAATAGCCTCTTCTAAATGGAGAAAATAGAACATGGTATCATTTCTTTGATTTATTTGACTAAGTTGTATTCATAGCCACATTGGGTGATTTTGCATAACCAAATTTTGTATACTTCCTGTTTACATGGTTATTTTCAATTGTATGTTTTAAAATATATTTTAAAGGATTACATGCTTAAAGAAAGTATTAATAGTTTATATATAACTGTCTAGACTTCCCTTTAAAAAATCACAGAACATTTTTAAATGTTTTACAAGAAATTTATAAAATATTATTTTCTTTGTAGTATAAAAAACCCATACAATCTCATTGAATGACAAAGAGAAATTCACTATTTAGGGTATTAAATCTCAAAGATGACATTCTTTTCTTAACAAAATTGACCTATACTTGTGTTAATAACTTTCTATTTAATACTTTGGGAAATAGTTGTGCAATACTTTAAATGAATGGAAAAACTGGGGAACTTGAAATGTTAAGAAGTTCCTAAATCTCCCATGCTTTTTTCGTGTGAACACTGCTTCATAGATCATTTTTATACTATGTTATTTACCAATTATTTGGATTTATTAGAGCTCTCCTCAGGCAAAATAATGGTGAGCTACCTTTGTTTTTGTTATAACTGTTTTCCTGTCAGGCCCTAGCAGCATGCTATCATGATGCTGTGAATACTTTTTTCTCTAATTCCCATATTTACTCTCAGCCCTAATCAAATGTTTTTATTTTCTCTTCCTTTATTTGTCTAAAAAGGATAAACAAACATTAATTTGCAATGAGCATGAAGAGCAATGAATCCAAGATGACCCTAAGGACTTTTCCAACTCCAACATTCCTTCAGCAAATCTTAAGATCTAGTTAGTATCATACCATGATGGTTTACTCTACTATGTATCCTTAAAAATTAGAATGGTAGAATTAGTTCAAGTAACAAATAATATTTAGAATGTTTTTCTGAGATAGAATGTAAGAGAATATAAAAAGTAGCAAGACCACACTGAGTTAGCTGTGTATAGCCTGACTGAACATCGAAATGATTTAGGAAGCTTTTAAAATTAGTGATACCTTTACCCATCACCGAGAAATTCTAATTTAATTTATTTGAAATGCAGCCTGGACATGAGATTTTAAAAATCCCCAGATGATTCTAAACTACAGCCAATATTAAGAACGACCAGTCTTGGGGCACCTGAGTGGCTCAGTTGTTTAGGCATCTGCCTTCAGCTCCATTATGATCCCAGGGTCATGGGATCCAGCCCTGCATGGGACTCCTTGCTCAGCCAGAGGCCTGCTTCTTCCTCTCCTATTCCCCCTACTTGTATTCCCTCTCTTGCTGTCTCTCTGTCAAATAAATAAATAAAATCTTAAAAAAAATAAACAAATAAAAAGAACCACCAGTCTTAAGTCTATCTGCAATTTATCTATTCTTAACTTCAACTAAATATTAGACTCAACAGGCACATTGAGAAATATATAGCTTCCTAGACTCTACTTCCTTAAATTCAAACTACTCATTTTAGGGTGGAAGCATAATTTTGTTTTCATTGTCGTTCTCTATGTCATGATTTCGATGTCAAGTCAATATTAAGTACCATTGCTCAAAAATCAAGATGCTTACCATCGCAACATGAAAAGGAATATACTGTCGATTTTTTATTTTTCCGATGTCATGCAATGACCCATACCAGCTAGAAGAGCTCAATGTCACAAATTAAGTTTTATAACGAGTGTAGGTAAATTAGCTTTGTATTAAAAATTACTCATAGTTATAGTATTTTAGGGTCTACTGGGAAAATTGCAGTAGTAGATACTCTAACATTGAGTAGTTTTACATTTGTTCTTCCTGCAAGTTTTGGTTAAATAAGTCATTGTGCTTCTACCTGTGAGCCAGAGCTAGAATTCTCAGTTGCTCTGAGAAAGTCTTTGTTAGCGTTAGTGTTGCCATATTGATTAGATTGAGAGCGACTTTGGATCATTTCTATTAACGCTCAGCAAAGACTTTCTTCGTACTCTTGGCTATATGCTGAATGCTTTAAAAGAAAAGTACAACCTCACAAACAGCCTCCTCTAGCACATGGAAGTACAAGATGGGATTGGGGGGGGAGACAAACCATAAGTGACTCTTAATCTCACAAAACAAATTGAGGGTTGATGGGAGGAGGGGCGTTGGGAGGGGGGGTGGGGTTATGGACATTGGGGAGGGTACGTGCTATGGTGAGTGCTGTGAAGTGTGTAAACCAGGCGATTCACAGACCTGTACCCCTGGGGATAAAAATATATGTTTAAAAAAATAAAATAAAAAAAAAAAAAAGAAAGAAAGACCGCTTTTGAACTTACAACATGAGGAAAGGTGTAAAGAAATTTAATTATTTTTAATAATGTTAAACAGGCAAGTGACAAAATTAATCTAAAAAAAAATCCATTGTATTGGGTGTGGAAGGACAGGACACGGCAGTGCGTGAAGGGGCGGAGGCGGACGGTGACCCCCGGGTGTCGCACTGGGTCCCCAGGGACACAACGAAGCTTCTCGAGGCGCAGTGGCCGTTGGCAGAGCTCATTTCCTGAAGGCGCGGGACCAGGGCGCGGTGGTCGCACGACAGAACTGTGAAGGGTGCAGCGGCAGCTTTTGCTCCGAGGAAACCAGCAGAGTGCAGTCATGGCAGACGACTCCCAGCCCGACGGGAGCACCGTGCAGGTGCTGCGGGACGTGGCGAACCGCCTGCGAATCCATTCCATCAGGGCCACGTGTGCGTCCAGCTCCGGCCACCCCACTTCGTGCTGCAGCGCCGCGGAGATCGTGGCGGTGCTCTTCTTCCACACCATGAGGTATAAACGCACAGACCCGGAACACCCCGACAACGACCGATTCATCCTCTCCAAGGGCCATGCGGCCCCAATCCTCTACGCGGCTTGGGCAGAGTTGGGCACCATCGGCGAATCCGACTTGCTGAGCTTGAGGAAAATCCACTGTGACTTGGAGGGACATCCCGCCCCCAGGCTGTCGTTTGTGGATGTGGCGACGGGATCCCTCGGGCAAGGATTAGGCGCCGCGTGCGGAATGGCGTACACTGGCAAGTACTTTGACAAGGCCAGCTACCGGGTGTACTGCCTCATGGGGGATGGCGAGTCCTCGGAAGGCTCTGTCTGGGAGGCTCTGGCCTTTGCTTCTCACTACAGTTTGGACAATCTGGTGGCAGTCTTCGACGTGAACCGCTTGGGACAAAGTGGAGCCACGCCCCTTGAGCACTGCACAGACATCTATCAGAATCGCTGTGAAGCCTTTGGGTGGAATACGTACTTAGTGGACGGCCACGATGTGGGGGCGTTATGCCGAGCGTTCTGGCGAGCAGCTCAAGTGAAGAGCAAGCCCACGGCCATAGTGGCGAAGACCTTCAAGGGCCGAGGTATTCCGAATATCGAGAATGCAGAAGATTGGCATGGAAAGCCCATGCCAAAAGAGAGAGTGGATGCGATCATCAAATTAATTGAGAGGCAGATACAGACCAACCGGAATCTCACGCCGAAACCTCCCGTTGAAGACTCACCTCCAATCAACGTCAGGAATGTGAAAATGACCTGTCTGCCTGATTATGTGGCTGGAGACAGGGTAGCTACTAAGAAAGCATACGGCTTGGCATTGGCGAAACTGGGCCACGCAAACGACAGAGTTATTGTCTTGGCTGGTGACACCAAAAACTCCACCTTTTCCGAGATATTCAATGAAGAACACCCTGAGCGTTTTATTGACTGTTTTATCGCTGAACAAAACATGGTGAGTGTGGCACTAGGCTGTGCCACCCGTGGTCGAACCATTGCTTTTGTCAGTACCTTTGCTGCCTTTTTGACCCGAGCATTTGATCAGATACGAATGGGAGCCATATCTCAAACCAATATCAATTTTATTGGTTCCCACTGTGGGGTATCCACCGGTGAAGATGGGCCCTCCCAGATGGCCCTGGAAGATCTAGCCATGTTCCGAAGCATTCCCAATTGTACTGTTTTCTATCCAAGTGATGCTGTCTCGACAGAGTATGCTGTTTATATGGCTGCCAATACCAAAGGGATGTGCTTCATTCGGACCAGCCAACCAGAAACCGCAGTTATTTACACCCCACAAGAAAATTTTGAGATTGGACAGGCCAAGGTCATCCGCCAGAGCGTTAATGACAAAGTCACAGTTATTGGAGCTGGAGTCACTCTGCACGAAGCCTTAGCAGCTGCTGACAGTCTTTCTCAACAAGGTATCTCTATCCGTGTCATTGACCCATTTACCATTAAACCCCTGGATGCTGCCAACATCATCTCCAATGCAAAAGCTACAGGTGGCCAGGTTATCACAGTGGAGGATCACTACCGGGAAGGTGGCATTGGAGAAGCTGTATGTGCAGCTGTCTCTAGAGAGCCTGACATCCTGGTTCATCAGCTGGCAGTGTCAGCAGTGCCTCAATGTGGGAAACCTACTGAATTACTGGATAAATTTGGAATCAGTGCTAGACACATCATAGCAGCTGTGAAAAATACTTTAATGAACTAAAATAGCTGATTTCTTAGAGTTAGTCTGTTGTCAGTCTTTGATCCCAAAACACTGGCATCTTTATATTATTACATTCATGGTTGTTACTAAACCATCATTTATATCTATATTATTATGCTTTTTTTTAAAGGAGACATTGAACACTTTTTTCATTCCCAATTCAGCATTTCAAGTCAACTACCTTTCTGTTAAACTGTCATCCTATATACAGATGTCACTCTCATTTTTTTTTAATGAAAGTAGGTTTTAACATTTTAAGTAACAAAATAAAACAACCAACAGCCACCTAATACAGAGTTTTCTGTAAGAGCACAAATAACTGGATTGGGAATCAACATAGAGATAAGTTTCTTAAATGTGTGTAAGTTCCTTGTAAATGAAAAAAAAATGTGAATTGAATTGTGTACTTCAATAGGCCAGGTTTTGAAGCAAGTTTGAGCTTTTATGTAATGCTGTCCTACCTGCAGCTTCCTGGGGAATGTTTGACTGCAGTTGCCTGGAGATTTCCTCTGATGTCTGCCTCATCTCTCCTCCGCAGTTTAGAAGCTCTACAGCTGCAGTAAAGGCTCTTATGATCTACTGTACTGCTTGCCATGACTGTTCCATAAAGAGATGAAAGCATCACTAGTCCTAATCTGCATGCTTCACTGTTTTGTGAGTTTTCAGAAATGTATCATCCTCTCAGTGACCAAAACATGGATAATCTGATTGTATTCATCTAAGGATACTAGCACTGATGTAATAAAGTATTTAAAAACAAACAGCTTTATTTAGTTTGCTCCATGGACATGTGATTTCATTTTTCCTTGATAGTCTCTCTAGACCACAAGCAGAAAGAGGCATGTCCCCTAACAGAAATCCTGGAAAAAGTTCGAGGCTGGAGGTGAATTACCTGAGAAAAATGTATGGGCTGAAAAGCCATATCTTAAATAGACTCCTCACTTTTAATTGTGAGGGCAAAAATTATTTGGCTGGAATACAAGAAAAAAAATAACAGGTAAATAAAGATAGACCTGAGGTCCAAAACTAAATTTAAAATTACTCTGGTATATCAGGGGCACCTGTGGCTCCATCAGTTAAGCATCCTACTCTTGATTTTGGATGGAGTCAAGATCTCTGTGTGAGATCCAGCCCGGCCTCAGGGCTCTGCACTCAGCAGGAAGTCTGTTGAGATTCTGTCTCCCTCTCCCCCCATTCCCCCACATACACTTTCTCTCTCTCTAAAATAAGTAAGTAAATCTTTAAAATTACTCTGGTATATCAGGTAGTTATTTCTGTATTTTTACTGCTTTCATTAAATGCCCTCATTAAGTTCTTTGGAGATATAACCAATTTGTCTCAGGAATTGTTCTAGAAGGTATGGTAGAGACCAAAAAACACTAACCTGGGGATCAGAGAAATCAGGGCCTGCTCATTCTACTAGTGCTTTTTTTCTTTGTGCTGGTTCTGGTTTCTTCTTTTGAAAACTGATCATGGTAATTGCTCTATTTCATAAGATATATAAATTATTTTATAAAAATAAAAATAGTTGCTACAAGATCACTGTAGAAATTTAAGAAACTACAAGTAAGAAAAAAATTACCTCACTTATCTCACCAAAAAAATCCATTTAATTGTACTTCTAGCACAGTATCACTATAGATCTTCTGTATCATCATTCCCATCTACTAACATCAATCATATATTACATATGTCTATGAGTGGGGTGGTACTGAATAATAGTCTCCATCCTTAAATTTTTTCAAACCTTAGAGTTAATACCAATTCAGCCACAGAGCAAGACAAAGAAGTTACCAATGCAAAATTAATGTCATAATTTGCACATACAGGGAAAGAGCTTCAGCTTATGGCTCAAACATGGCTATGGGATGCATAATTATCTATTTCCAACCATACTAGCATAAACACACCTTTAGTAATGACACTAGACTGTTGTTGTTTTGTTTTTGTTGTTGTTGTTGTTGTTATTTTATAATGACTAATGGGATCTCAAAGACCGCCAGAAATATGTTTTGTAGGAAGGCAGGGAAGCCTTTATGAATCTTTCCTATAAGAGTTCTGTCTCACCAGGCACCTATCAGTGGCTATCAGCTCTAGAGAAAAGATATAGAAGAGGAAAATTCCTTATCTCATGTCTACAGTTTTTCAGATAAGATGGAATCGAATCCAGTTTTGTTATGAATTTTTTCTAGCCTTGAATCTGTCCTGAGATCTTGTAAGTCTCCATGGAAATCTTAATAGACAATCATCCTACATGATGCTAACCCTGAACTGCTAAAGCTTGTGAAGATGGCAGTTTTAATTTTGACAAACACCATGATCATTCCTTTAACTCTGGTCTTCTGTTGCTTCATTTGCTTAGAAAAAGTTCTTTTAGGTTATCAAGAGAGCCCTATGATGTTTCAGGGACAGCCGGGACTGCCAGCAGCTGCCTTGCTTAAGGTTGTGCTAGCAAAGGCTGGCAGGCAGGCAGTTATCTGAGAGTGACACTGTTCATTCAGATGGCTTTCAGGTCATTCTCTGATTTCCATGACTCTCAAAGATAGTAAAAGAAGAAATCTGGAGGTTAAATTTTTATTTTACTTTATTTAAATACATCAATGGCTCTTAAGCACCTGGGAGTTCAACTGAGGTTCCTGTTTGGGAAAAAAAATGTTTTTTAAAGAAAAAGGGAAGGGCTCAATAGCTCTGATTTTTAAGTTATAATACAATAATAAGAGGTACTGACTGATAGTTATCAGCAAGTTTACTGAACTGTACAGGAATTACTCTTTTCCAGGCGCAATCAGGGAGGGTCTGGTTTGGGGGGTGACAAGTGTTGGTGGCCATTACTATCATGATATATAAGGGAGGCCCTAGAACATTACTGTGATGGGAAGGAAGCTGTTTTAATAACTGAAAATGAGAGGTGCCTGGGTGACTCAGTCAGTTAAGCATCCGACTCATGATTTTGGCTCAGGTTATGATCTCAGGGGTCATGAGATAGAGCCCCATGTTGGGATCTGCACTCAGCAGGGAGTTTACTTCCCATCTCTCAGTCCCTCTACCTCTACCCCGGCTCATGTGCGCTCTCTCTTAGATAAATAAATAAATAAAATGACTGAAAGTGTTATAAAATTAGAGACAACATTAAAGGTGCTTACATATAGTGGAAAGAGATAAAGAGAGTTTCAAAAGAATACAATTGATAGTTAATGAAAAAATAAAACCATTTTATGATTATATACACAAGAGTTGAGTCACTTCAATCAAACCAGTTATGAGAAGAAACAATTCTTAATATTTTTATATAAATTTAATATTGAAATACTTTCCACATCAAGCACATTAAATAAAAGGAATTTATGAGGAAATTAAAACAAAATTTGTTTTTGTTTTCTTCTATCCCTTTAAAAAGTATTGAATGTAGGTAAATTTACAGTGGCTCTGAGTGGAAATTGGGCAGATCCCATGATATCTCTGTTTACACTTAGGTAATAATCTTATAATTATTTTCTTTTCTTTTTAAAATTTAAATTCAATTTAACATACAGTAAATTATTAGTTTCAGGAGTGGAATTTAGTGATTCATCAGTTGCATACAATACCCAGGACTCTCTACATCACATGCCCTCTTAATTGCCCATCACCCAGTTATCCTTTCCCCCTACCCACCCACCTCTCCAGCAACCCTCAGTTTGCCTCCTATAGCTAAAAGTCTCTTATGTTTTGTCTCCTTGTTTTCATCTGATTTTATTTTTCTTTCCTTTCCTATAGTTATTTTAAATCATCAAAATCCAATCCAGAGTCAGTGGATTAAAATATATTCAGCTTAATTCGGTTTTCGTTTGCTTTACTTCATAAGCAAAGAGCTGTAGTTGGTAGCTGGCTACCTTCAGGGAATGGTGTGTTGTCTTTGGTTGGTTTCCTATCCCCCTTCCGCTCTCCCTGCCTCTTCAACTTACTAATTAGTGTTTTAGTCAAGAAAAGAGATGAGAGGGAAATGGCTCTTATTTGGCTAGAAGGCTGTGTTTCCAGAGTTTGAAAAGTGGTTAAAGCTGATGCAGTTTTGTTCATGTATCTTTATCTCACATGTGCAACTATTTTGAAATTTAGACAACTGTATCACTAGGTCATAAATTGAAATAAATGCAAGCTGTTAAACCAAAATCTAACAAATACACATTTATTCGTAAGGAGGCAAGAAAGCAGTCATGCAATGTGTTGTTGTAAGCTTAATGAAGTCCCCCTCTCTATTGATAGGTGCTTTTAGAAGCCCTGTGAATAAATGTTTGCTCCAAGTTGGGCATGAGTGAGAGTGAAGTTCTAAATATTTGACAGACAGCATGGCCTGAGTTCCCACTGCTAAGAATGAATGCCGATCTAATCTTAAGATACCCTGCCAGAAGAACTATACTGTAAAGTATACTGATGATCAGCTCTAGAACCCATTAGAAATAGGGAGAAATAGCCAGTCATTTAGTTGGGTCAGGAATACCCTGGGAAATGGAAGACACAGGACTACATAGAGCTCTAGACCTGGAATATTACTCCTCCAAAAGATAGACTGCTAAGTTTTCCAGATTCTTATATCTCATACTGTCAAAGGGAGAGCAATATGCCTAAATTATCTAGCCCAACCCATTGTCTTAAATACAATGTATTTCACCAGTGAAAAGTTATTTTAACAACCGTATGTTATTAACAAGCACAATGTGGCATAGATCATGGATTAGGGTGCTTCAAAAGGAAACTAAGCATTCCACGCATTTAGGTGAAAATAAATGGACACACACATACACAGACATAAACATTCACATGTGTGTACATCACACATTATTTATACTAACATGTTTAAAAGAAAATTACTACAGGAAGCATAAATACTACTATATCCTTATTTCACTGATGAGAAAGCTAAAGTGCAGAGAGATTATGTGTTCATAATTTGCTCAAGGTCACAGATGTAGTATGTTGTGGTGTCTGATTTTTAAATTTACATATTTCATATAATTCTCATGATAATCTTGAAATATGCATTTTATTATTGTCCCCATTTTCTCCAATGAGGAAACTTACTCTCCAGAAAGAGAATGTCAGTCTTTTTGTTTCTAAATTTCATTATACTTCTTTGTCTCATTTATGTTTGATTTTCCTCCCTGGATTATGTTTCTGATTGAAGTAGATTTTTTATTCAATTTAAATAATAATTTTATAAAAAACAAAATATAACAAATAGCAACAGTGTGTTCCCATCTTTACCAGTATGACCAATTTCTGGGAAAATAAGA